TTGTTCGTATTTTCATTTAGTTCTTTTGTTAAAGCAAAATTTGGTGCTTTTGTTCGTAGGCCTATTCTTATCTAGTTCCTCTAGAGCAATTTCATTTCACATTTGTGTTTAAAATACCTTTCCGCCATTTTGTTTGTTTTGGGAAAATCATTAATTGTACTGCAGTACAATTAATGATGGTAATAGAACGAATAGGAGTGCTATTAATGCCATAATCATACGAGTGATTACAAAATCAACCGACCGCGTAGCGGGAGGTTGATTTGTTAATCACGAGTATGATTATGGCATTAATAGTACGACTTAATTCGTTCTATTACGTATTAATTATTTATCTTCTGTAATCAAACTGTTTAAGGGGGAAAAGCAGAAAAATACAATTTGTTGAAATTCAATATAATTTTTAAATTTTTGTCACGACAATTCTTAGTGAAATAGTACAATTTTGAATTATTATTTATCATATATAATCAAATTAACATATTATTAACTTCCGGGCATTATTTCCGGTATAACCACATGACAACATTTGTTTGAATTATTCAACACACAATTGGGAAGCCATGTTTGTATGTTTATAACGTGTTCAAAATAGTGAAGTTCTTTAGTTCAATTAATCATCTGAATTGGATTGTGTCTAGTTCGGTCTCTTCTGCTGGATGAACAGGTAGGTCATTTTCGTCAGAAAATATATAATTTAACAACCCTCGAAAACGAGATCGGCATTCGGCAATGCCGACCTTCAGTATTAAAATGCCGACCTATCAACCTCCCATGTCGGCAATGTTTTGCCGACCTTAATTCAGCCAAAGTAAGAATCTTTTTGGTTCTTATAGTTGTTAAAAAGTCAGCGATTATAGAATTCGATGCACTTTGGTGTAAGGTTTAAGAATTAACGGGTATATTTATGATATAATTTAGGTAAAACTCTAAAAGAAAAGGCTTCGTGACATTTATACTTTTCAATGATTCGTAAATACGTGATTACTAGTGCAGGCTACTAGTGCTCCAAGACATGGAAACAGATTTTAAAAAATGCCGAGATAGGTCAGATTTAGGTCGGCATTTTTGACGGTTTTCGAGGGCTGATTTAAAAATTAAAAAGGGCAAAATTTGTGAATTCCTCCATTTTGAAATTTTTTACAGCAATAAAGAAAATAAAATTCAAAGTTTGTATCCTGAGTGCTGATTGGCTAGTGTAAATACTAGACTGATTTTCATTGGCTGTAGACAAGAGTGCGATTACAGCTCAGAAAAGGTGCGATTAATGCTCAAATCGCACTCCTGTAAACCAATGAAATTGCAGTATTTGCCACTGATTACAGAAGATAAATAATTAATGAAATAATTGTACTCCTCTCAACCAGTCAGCATCCAGTAATTTTGTCATGCTAATAATAAACAATATAAATGTTTTAATTAAAATGTTAAAAACATTAAGTTTGGTGATCTTGAATTATGCTTAATTGATTTTCCTAGTTCGTTTTTTCAATTAAAAGGGCTGAAATGCGCCTTAAAAACCATCGTTCAACAGGCTGAACTGTGCCTTCAACACAGCGCAGTCCAATCGTTTAGTGACGTTTTTTTAATTGCATTTATCAATCGTGTCGAGTTTCCAATCAAATTCGCCATCAAAATGTTTTCCCTTCTGAGCAACAATTTCGTGCTTCAACGTTTTCGTTTTGGATATTTCGTTTTAATTGACGACTTTATTTTAACAGCTACATCACGACTGGAACGATCGACTCGGATGTGGCCGATGGTGATCAGCGATACTTTGCTCTTCAATTTAATGACGGTAATTTGTTTGCATTATGCATATAAATAATAGATACAGAATGCGTACTCCTATCTCTTTTCAGTGAAAATTTTGTCTCCACAAAATGGCGGATTTCAGAGGGTATTTTGACTTGCCCCAGACTCCTGCGGCAGGGAATTTCGCGCGATTGTGAGGAGTGCGAATTGGGTTTTTTCAACAAAGTTTGCAAAAAGTATTTTATATCAGACTTGAAGTGGAAAAAATCTGTAAAGATGATAAACGGTTTAAAAACCACATCCCGTGCAGTGGCGTTTTTTTTTTAACGGAAAACAATAGTTCTAAAATAAAGTTTCAAGGTTGTTGTGGAAGCGAAAACAAAAGTTAAAACACAAAAGATTAAGACAAACTCGATACTCAATAGGTATGTTCTAAAATATTTCAACTGTTTTATAATATAAATGCAGGAGTTCGATAATCTTTCAATTGAACTTACACAATTACTTTTCATATTTTCTACTTTGCTTCAGTCTTGAGGCAACGATTTCGAAACCATAGTTTCCGACGATTATTTAGGCCATTTACAAGTTCATCGACAACAAAAATTACTTGTTGTTTAAAAATTACGTGTTGCTTGAAAACCTTCTGTTGTTTGCGCCTTCAAAGAACTTGATGTTTCAAAATCTAACCTTAAATTGCAAATTAGACAGCAAGCCAAAACGTTTTGACGATTTGTTTATACTTTATAACTCTCACTCTTAGTCAAATTCAATATGGCGGATTTGAGAGGGCCAATGAAATGAATATATATATATATATATATTCCTGGAACGTTACCTTTAGATAAACTGCCTATCTTTTCTTAATTGAAGCCAGATCTGACACGCTTGTTTATGCTTCGCAAATCTCTCGCCAGAACGGAGTTCAGGGAGCGAGCATGCCATTTTAATCAGTAAAGTCTACTTGGAAGTTTGACCTGAATAAATGCATTAATTAATAGCCCTATTAAAAGGCTTTTTTGTTTAAATTTAAGCCGCTTTTCAAGAATACATATTCATGTTGGCGGATTGACAGTGCTCTTCGCATGCGTGAAAAGACTGGGACTGGCCTTCAAGTTTGGCTTCAAATTTCCGGTTGGATGTAGCGTTCCAGTTATATTCATTTCACTCGAAAGGGCACGCATGAAAGAAAGTGGAGACATGATTTGTGATAAAGTACGCATTCTACATATATTCTTTCTATGTATGGTATAATGCAGATTTGCGTACCTATAATGTTGCCATACTACTCTATAATATGAGGTTGCACATTTGCTTACTTATTGAATTAAATAAATTCCTTGTAGTTTTGCATGACGAATAATATCAGTTTGTGAAAACACCACGTAAATTTATTATTTGCCGAACTTTCGACCCATATAAGCTGATAGGATCCGGGCTTACCGATCGAAAAACTCTGCAAATAATAAATTTACGTGGTTTTTCCTCAAACCAAAACTGATATTTTTAAATAAAGCTTTTACAGAACTGTTTATACAGCAAGTTTGGTGCCTTGCTAAATCAAACCAGTTACAACTGGTAATTATGACATATGGTTGGCGTTGGGTGTATGAACCTAAATAGTGCTATTCACCACATAGTAATTGTTCAGCATTTATTGGTATATACATAGTTTTAGTATCCTTAAAGAAAGTAAAAATGTTATTATTTTTGCGTTTCTCTGAAGCATTTAGAACCACTTACAACGATTATATTTAAAGAACATTTAACAGATGAAGATGTCAATGAATGCACGAAGGTAGAGTAGGGCCTTTCTACTAAATATATAGTGAACATGCAGATACAGATATTTCACAGCACACTCCCTATCAGGGTTTTTCAGTGACTGGTTACATTGTGAATGGATAGATAGAACTGGACTGACGTGAAGCAGACCGAGGTAGACTTTGAGCTTACAAATGGCGCTTGAGCAGCCGCTATTAATCCATACCTCATTAATGATCTGCCTCCTGACCTAAGTGCCTAACCCACCCTGTCAACTTTCCCTGTGGGTGGAAACTGGAGTACCCGGGAAAAACCCACGACTTTCGGCAGAGCGTTGACTTTTTACTCTTTTCACATGAGGACTGGGTTCGAGTCACATTGAGAAGTTCTCACTGAGGCTTGAACCAGCTACCTTAGAGGTGAAAGGCAAGTGCGCTAACATGCATTGAATTGAGGCATATTGTAAATACTGGACTGGACTATAGGTTTGTACTGGAATTTGGACTGGACTCTGTATTTAAAATTATCCCCATGCATAATTATCGTTAGAAACAACGAAAAGGAGCTCGATAGGTCCAATAGGACAATTGCGTCGCGTCTGCAAGATAATGCATGGTGGCATGGTATGACACATATAGGAGGGGCTTAGGAATGATTCCGCTGTATTAATAATTACAGTGCATATCTATATTGAGTATTGTTTGTTTTCTAGACGGGTGTATATATAAACACCGCAAGGTGTAACAATTAGAAAATATCGTATCAACTAACCTTGGTACTACCCGAAAAGTTCGAGCGGCGGCCTTATGTTAGTTAGGTAGAGACTTTATTTAAACAGGATTGACATAAACCTTTTCAGTGAAAAATACACTGCTATCAATAAGGGGTGCTGTATCTAGCAGTAATTAACTAATAATTAATTACGTTGTATATATTCTATATATATGTTCATAAGAACTATAGCTCCCAAAATTGCCTCAAGGCAGATCGGAAAGATAAAAAATGGGTTCTTTTGTCGAACTTCGAACTGGCAGAGGGAGACTATTAAAAGTTGATGCTCTTTGGTAGAAGAAACCTTTCTTGGTCGAGACTAATTTTACTCTTGGAAATTACACTATATCCATTATATGGTGTTTATATACACCCGACTAGAAAACAAACAATACTAAATATAGATACATTACATTGGAATTATTTTTCGTTCTGCATTCAACATGGCGGCGGGTTCTGTTTGTATGAGCTCCGACCCCGATGAAAATATAATGACCACCGTTTGGGATGTGAAAGAAATTTACAGATATAAAACTGCCGAAATGATATATTACGAAGGCGAACGAATTAGATGGTCTGCTGATCACGAATCGCTAAAGAAATGTATCGAATATGCTTTTGCCCAGCGTGGTAAATGGTCGTCGCCAGGGGGCAATTCAAAAAAGTTTGATAGCTTTAACTTTGATTTATCATGCACATGGTATCCTGGAAAATTGAGTTCTTTACTATTCCGTGGAAAGGCTGGCAATTTGGTAAAGGAATGCTTGATTAAGGCGTGTATGTCGAGCACACTTGATGAATTTCAAGACAACTTAAAGGTATGCACAACTTCGATAACTAATGTCTGTGACGGTGTCAGTCCCAACAATTCTGACTCAATAACTGTTGTAAATAGTGTTTGCCAGCCTTCCGATGTTAGCCAGACCAGCGGACAGAAGCAGTGCATCGATATCGATCAAAGTAATAATAGTCTTAGAACACAGGATTGTGCCTCTCAAACACAAAACCAGAATTGTGATCATTTGTCTGAAGAATTGAGAGATGCTCTCAAGAAAATTGATCGTCTGTTTGATTTAACAAACAATGTTTACAATTCTATAAGTAGATTGATAAA